TTCTTCTTCTTCTTCTTCTTCTTCTTCTTCTCCTCCTTCTTCTTATTCCCCCCCATACTTTACCCTTAATATTTTGTAATAGTTTTTGCCTGAAAACCACACTCCCCTGAGTTTTCCGGGTAGTAACCCCATTCTTTTCCATTCTGACCCTTTCCAGCTACACCTTACAGCCTTCATCTAAGTCATCCTTGGATATACCAGAGCACCTTGCCACCCAGTCTCACCATGTCAACCCTACTCATCTTCCCTCACTTTTATCTGTCTTCCCCCAGTGCCCCTTGACATTAGTATCTGGGTACTCTTTGGAAAAAGCCACAGCCTTTGGCCCCATTTCCTCCAGCCCACTGTCACCCTCCCACCTCTTGAACCTCTAAGCACAGACCAGGCTTTCATTTAGTTACTGCCCTTTAATTATCTTGAGGGCTCTGAAGCAACCACAGGAAAGCAAAACTGCATTTGCTCAGCAGAGATAAACTGCACATTGAAAAATATACGATGGCAATGAATTCATCAGTCAAGGGACTTTTGGAAGGGAACAGGATTACAGCTGGACTAAAATAATATCCTTTTCTCATTAACTAGTTGTTTTAACTCCATTCAGGTGATCTCTAAGGTCTTTCCAACTGTCATTCTGTGATTTTCTAGTTCTGGGCATGTGAATTTCTAATTTACATTTTTTATGGATATTCCAAGCAGGGACTTTCCAAGTCTCCTCCATGCATCTCATTCCCTGGTCCAGCTCCAAGCAGAGAAAGGCCATCCCTAAGCAGCAGCCCCTCTACGGGCTCTCTGTTCTGAAACTGCCCTGGTACTTCTGAGAAGTGCAAGCTACCTGTATGGAAGTGCTGATTGGTGACTATTGTCAGACTATGAGAGGGATACCCAGAAGAAGGCAGAGGTGCTGCATTGCCCGTGGAAAAAGAGAACAGAATAATTAAGCTCTGGACTGTATGGGAAAGAAGATGCCCTTTATCCATTCAGCTAATTCCCCTGCAGAGAAACGACAGAGAGGATTTTTCTTGTTGCAGGGTTGTACTAGGCCAGTTTCCATCTTGCCGGCCAGAGAATTAGACACAGGAAGAACTGAGATGCCCCAGTTTGGGTTGGATGTGCCATCTTATGTCTTGAGACCCCAGTGTCTTTCTGTAAAGATCTTCCTTCATCCTCTGAGGAGAATGTGGTGCTTAACTGATGGCAGACCATCATTTTTTTTTTTTTGTCCCAGTACAGCCCACAGTGTTCCTTCACTATAAATTTTTCGAAGACCACGTAAATATCACTTGCTCTGCCAATGCCCGCCCAGCCCCTGTGATCTCCTGGAAGGTCTCTGGGTCAGGGATTGAAAACAGTACTGAGATTCTCTCACACCCCAATGGGACCACGTCTGTCACGAGTGTCCTCCAGGTCAAAGACCCCAAGAGCCAGGTGGGGAAGGAAGTAATCTGCCAGGTGCTACACCTGGGGACTATGACCAGCGTCAGGCAAACTTTGGACAAAGGTAAGAGAAGGTGGGCAAAGATGTGTCACACACCTGGAAGGTGGTGAATGTTTTGCGAGCCTGTTGGTTTCTTAGCAAAGGAGCTAGTAGGAGAGAGAATGGCATAAGTGGGGAAAGAAAAACAGGGTTGAGGAAGCCAATAAAGCCAATTTTACTTTGGTAAATGTGGTATGTTGCCCACATGCCAAATGCTTTTGCTGAGATCCATCCATTCATTTATTTTTCCACACTGCTGACATTTACTGAGTATCTGTTCTGTGCCAGGCTTTGGGACTGTTGAAATGTGACAGTAAGCAAGGCTCAGTCCCTTTGCTCAGAAAGCTTCTGGTTTACTGGGAATACAGAATGGGCAGTTATAAAACTGTGTGTTAAATGCCTCAATAAGAAAGCTGCGGTGCACCCTGAGAGGATTGAGGGCGGGGAGGAGGGACGTCAGCTCAATCTGGAGGGATCAAGGAGATTTCCTGGAAGAAGTGACCTCTCCAATAAAGGCTTTGGTAATCTACACTGTGGAAAAGGGGCAACAGAGGTTTTAAGAAAGAGGCCTATCGGAAGGTGTTTACCTCACCCTTTTGAAACAAACTGCCTCCTGTTCAAAACCCCTTTGGCTTTCTTGTGTTTTTCTCTAAACTGCTATCTCTGGGTCTCATGGATACAAGAATTAAAGGTTCTGGGTGGGAGAATGAAGGGAGTGGCCGTTTTAGAGGCAAGACACTTTGCGAATAGTCACGGTTTTCTTTCTGTCTGTGGTTCTGAGGCACCAACTCTGGATGAGGCTGTCTGTAATAAGCCTCCTAAAAAGGTATTGATGGGTTTTGATTTTTTGTTTTCTGGGAGGATTTTAAGCAAAAGAGCTTGGAAAAGCTTTTTCCTGTGTATGCCTTATTGGCGTGGTGGCCTCTAAGCAAAATTTCCTGTAGTCATTTTTGGGGTCCTTGTAAAAAACAGACGAATCAAAAAGTCGACATTTAGGTAAATTTGATCAAAAGATATGCAGTGTTAGATTTGGATACTTGTGAAGAGATCCTCATTTTCAGCCAAGGCATTTTTCCCTGAAAAACAAGAAGTTGAAAAGGAACTGGTCTTCTTTCCCAAGAATGCTAAAATCGACTTATGTCATGTATAATGTGTGAACATCATTTCTGTAATGTTTGTTCTGCGAACGCTTACTAAAAGTCTCCCGTGCTTCGAGCATGTGTCAACCACAGAAACTGTTGAACTTAGACACATCTCTGTCTGAAGGTGCCCGATTCAATTATGATGTAACAAATCCCTTTACGGAGGTATGGGGAAGATGCTGGAAACTCCCAAATCAGGAGGCTCTTCCTCCCGTCTTTGTATTGCAGAGCGATGCGGAGGAACTTTGTTTGTTGGGCGGTGGAAAGAGCTTTAATAACAAAGATGCAGATTAGAAGACATACAGTAAAAGCATTGAGATGAGTTACTCCTGGGGTGGGAATCATGAGATGCATGATTTTTTTTTTCTTTCTATTACTCTGTATTTTCCAAAGCGCCCTCAATAAATATATGACTTTCACGGACCGTAAGGCAAAGAATATGCACTTTAGAGGCAAACCAAGCTCTGACCAAGCCCTGGTTCTGCTGCTTACTACTCTGATTCTGGGCTTGCTTAACTTCTCTCAGCCTCAGTTTTTTGTTCTATTGTTGTTGTTTGTATATGTGAGATACCTAACTCTCGGGCTGTTTTGAGGACTAAATGAAACCACACATTCAAAAGGTCTTAAGAGATAGCAACCACATAAACTGTGTGGTTAGATTATTATTAACTAAATGCTATCAAAATAATATAAAGCCATGAATGTAAACTTCAATAGATATATATTTAAGGGTAGTTTTCATTTTAAGCTCAGTTCTAGGAAAAACTAATCACAACTGTTTCTCTATCCTTTTTTGCCTCAACAGCTTCTTATGACTTTGTGTCTCCTTTTTCCCCCTCAACATCTATAGGCTTTTGGTTTTCAGTTCCACTATTGTTAAGTATTGTTTCCCTGGTCATTCTCCTGGTCTTAATCTCAATCTTATTATACTGGAAACGTCGTCGGAACCAAGACCGAGGTGAGTGATCACGAGAAATACACAGAAGGAAACAAAGGACTTTTTTTTTTTTTTTAATTTTTTTTTTTCAACGTTTTATTTATTTTTGGGACAGAGAGAGACAGAGCATGAACGGGGGAGGGGCAGAGAGAGAGGGAGACACAGAATCGGAAGCAGGCTCCAGGCTCTGAGCCATCAGCCCAGAGCCCGACGCGGGGCTCGAACTCCCGGACCGCGAGATCGTGACCTGGCTGAAGTTGGACGCCTAACCGACTGCGCCACCCAGGCGCCCCACAAATGACTTTTTAATAGTAATTTGGGGGGGTGGCGTGAAGACGTAAATAAGGGGTGGCAACAATGTGTTTTGTTCGCTGTTTCCAAAATACCTAAATGTTGCTGGTATTTTAGAACACGTCAGCGTCATTTTCTTGCAATTGGACGTTAAAACTGGATGCTTCTGCTTTTTGTTTCCTAAGATCATTTAGTGGCTAATTATTTGTAACTTGAGAGTAAGTGTTGATGAGAGGAAATGTGGAAAATGTTGATCCAACCATTGTTGAATCAGCTGATGGCAAAACCAGGGAGAGAAGTCTCAGCGTCCACACTGGGTTCTTCCACTTATTACTGAGAAGGACAATCTCTTTTCTTTTTACAGCGCTCCCCAGGGCCAGCTACTCCATGTAACAGACTCTGAAATTATCCAATATACTCACTAATTAAATAGTATTTTCTCTGTTATACTCTTACTATGTCTCAAACACTATAGGCAACATGTAGGCAATCTTCTAACTACATTATGTCATTCTGTCCTTATAGACTGCACATTTTCTCTCTGTCCCCTACAACATCTATCACAACATCTTATGTATATTATTAGGTGCTCAATAGCTGTTCATTAAAATAGTGAATGAATCAGTGGATGAATGGATGGGTGGATGGCTGGCTGGCTGGATGGAAGGATAGATTTTGAAAGTGATGTTTTCAATTCTCCTTTTATTTTTTTTTTTTCAACGTTTATTTATTTTTGGGACAGAGAGAGACAGAGCATGAACGGGGGAGGGGCAGAGAGAGAGGGAGACACAGAATCGGAAACAGGCTCCAGGCTCCGAGCCATCAGCCCAGAGCCCGACGCGGGGCTCAAACTCACGGACCGCGAGATAGTGACCTGGCTGAGGTCGACGCTTAACCGACTGCGCCACCCAGGCACCCCTCAATTCTCCTTTTCTTATTGTAATTTCAGTACCTCATAAATGCTGAGTCTAAAGCATTGTGAGATTTTATAAAATGAGACGCTGTAAAACAAGAGGAGTCAGCTAGAAAGAGAGAATTAAATGTTTTTGTTTTCTGAAGACAGTGCATAATTTATTAAAGTTAATGCAAAGCTTCAGTTTATGGCATGTTGATGGGGATTTCCAAGGGTGAAAGGCTCATATGGGAGTTTTCACCATCTCAGATAACTGTAAGGGAAGGAAGAAAATGTTGGTTTAGAGTGTTGTTTTAAATTTCTATTAAAAACTTCACTTAAGCGCTACTTTTCCCCCTTTTTCTTTTATGTCTCATGAGCTATCTCTCATGTGCTAGGTTTTTCAAACACTTAATTCTGCATAAACCTTATATAAACACCAGATTAATGTCATTTTATAAAAAACAACAAATCTTCAGTGCCAGTGACCCCTTTGCAAAAGTAGTCAAAAGAATGTGTTCTGTGGGGAGAGGGGATTACATATCAGATAATTTTATTGCATATAAACATAAGCCCATAGAATTCATTAGTGCTCTGCAGAATGTCAAAGGCAGAAGGCTGTTCGACTCTATCCAAACGTTTCGTTTTTCCAGTTAGGAACTGAAGCCAGAGAGGGAAATTGATTTTTTCCCTAAGGTCACACAGCTAGTTAACAACAGGTTTAGGACGAGAACCGTGGCCTTGGTCTCCTGACCTCTGCCAGAATGTTCTTCCAGCTGTGATACCCTGGAGTTCTGACTTGAAAGGCACTATTGGGTTGCATTTATTTTAGTCTTAGCTTGCTGTTACTGCTGTATTCTTTTGGAAAGTACGAAGAAAAAAAGTATGAAGTGTTCAAATTTGTTTTAAAAAGTCCCTGTTGGACAAGAATCTTACAATGCAATCTATTCAAGCCCAAGGTAAATTCCACTAGAATGGGGCATTTGAAGAATAATTGTCCTTTGTTCATTAAGTCTTAGGTTTTCTGGGAAAAAGAATTGTTCAAGGCCTTTTCCAATTCCTGAAGCAAAGGGAGTCAGCTTATCTTTGTACCCAGGCTTTTCTCATTTATGAAATAAACACTTGCACCTCTCTAGGATCTTGTAAGCACTAGAATTGCTATTTACTGATGATATCTTCGTGACATATGGCCAACTCAGTTAATTACACTGAATGTGAAGTGGCATATTTTGGGTGGCTGAATTGTTTTGTGGGTTTCAAAAATGTTAGTAGGTCCCCAAGTGTTTGTTATGCTGGAGACTTAAACACTCAGGACCAAAACTTAAGTTATACAAAAAGTTGGCAGAAAGGGATGAAAACCATCGGAGATACTGACGTTTAAAATTTCTTTAAGTAACAAATTTTGATTATCAATTTGTGATGAAAGTGAACAGTCCTACTACATTTGCTTCCTACTTTTTCCCTACCCTTGCTTTGGGTTTTCCTTTTCTCTTCTCTTTGCTTTCCATCATCTGGAAACATAAAACTTTTGGATGGGCAGGGGAACATGGTGATCAGTCAAAAATGACACCAAATTTCTGGACCTGGTTACTGGAAAAAATGGCAACTGTTCAGAAATAAGGAAGTGAAGAGGGGGAACTAAATGTGTGTGTGTGTGTGTGTGTGTGTGTGTGTGTGTGTTCATGGTTCATGGAGAAAGAAAGAGGAGAGAAAGGATGAATTAATTCTTGCACTAGTTGAATGTGGGCAAAGAAATCATCTCTGAGAAGCTGCTGGGTGGTAAGACAAATCTAGTTAAGTAAGGGTTTGACTCTTTGTTAGGTCCATAACAAACGCAACAAAAAAAGCTTATTTTAGGCCAAAATCACTTATTCATTGCTCACAAAAGCACAGCAAACTTAGTTTCAGGATAGAGGGGTAATCTGTAATGATGATGTTATTTTTGTACAAATTAGGATCTATTTTTCTCGTGATCCTGTTTAACGCCAGAGAGAATGTTGTTCTTTTCACCAGGAAAGGTGTCCTCTGGAGGAAGGTATGGTGAGTTAGAGGCAGTTTCTTTTTGTTCCATTCCTGATAGGATCAGATCACAGTTACTTCCCATGAGACTACAACAACCAGATAATAATAGATTGATAGGTTTTCAAAAAAAAAATCCCTTTTATTTTCTTTCATGAATGTAGTGCTTTATTACTGAAATAGAAAGTGAAAAAAAATAAAATTTCCTAGGGAAAATTTCCCCTATTCTATAATATTCTATTAAAACCCAACTGAGGTCATAAATTTTTCCCTTCCACATATACTACAATGAAGTTAAATTTGGGATTGAAAATAACCTCTTATTTCTCGTTAGTCAACCCACCAATGATTACGTGCTTCTCAGTAACAAAAACCTCACGTGGGGGCAGATCTGAACAGATAATCATCTCACTTTTTGAAATGTTTGAGTAGCAGTTTTCTTTTGTTTGATTGAGTCAAAGTATAAGTGGAAAACAGTAAAAAATTTACACAACCGTAGGAAATACCTATTCCAAACTTCACTTTTTCTTCAAATCATCCAGCTATTTTGTAACAAAGTGGTTTTTCCTTCACCAACATTATCTGTATAATTACCTTGAATTCTTTCACTTCACTTCATAATAACCTGACCTTTAAATGGGCTGTCTTTTCATTGAGAACAATGGAGGTGTTGATAAAACACTGTGTCCTCAGTGGAATCATGTCGCTTTCTCTTATTTTCAGCTTAGTACTATGTCAAATACCAGAAGTGCTCAATAATTTTGATGGTGAAATAGTGATTAGTTGTAAGGGCAATACAAAAAATATTTGTTTCCAAAAACAAATGCAAATCTTTGCTTTGCGTAATGATTGTACCTATGTCTCTCTAATGCAGAGTGGTTGTGGGGGCGGGGGTGGTCCTTACCCTACTCCAGTTTCCTCAGAGCTCCAAGCAGAAGAGATGTGGCACTTTTTATGAGAGAAGTGTTAAGCAACCTTTACTGAACTGCTTAGGTCAATACTGCCGGGAGAAATCTTGCCTTCCAACTGATTTTTCTACAAAAGTTTACACTCCAATGGGTGCAGATGCCATCCATCATCTCAAAATGGCAGGGCATGATCTGATTACAGAGTCATTGGCCAACTGAATCTTAAGCCCGGGCATTCTTGCCTGAGCTGCTTTACGTCTTTTACCACAGATAGTGGATACTGGGCATATTGGCAAGTTTAAAACATTGCAGTTTCTGGTGAAGAGTTACTTACGATACTTACGATTTACATAGAGAATGAGAGGTGGCACCAAGATAAAATCCTAGGCCTTTTACTTCACTAACTACATGCCTTGAGGGGAGGCCCACATCCTTTCAGTTTATGTGCTAGAAATCTGATAGCCCTTGAAAGGCCCTCCATGTGTCTTTTTTGTGACACATGAATGCTACCCAATGTCTAGCAAGTTAATATCCACAGGAAGCAAAGCTCAAGGTCTTATAAATAAAATACACATAGATCATTTAAAATTCTTTAAAAAAAAAGTTTTTTTTCTATGTTTATTTATTTTTGAGAGAGAGAGAGAGAGAGAGAGACAGAGCTTGAGTGGGGGAGGGCAGAGAGAGAGGGAGACCGAGAGTCCGAAGCAGGCCCCAGGCTCTGAGCTGTCAGCACAGAGCCCAACATGGGGCTCGAACTCACGAACTGAGAGATCATGACCTGAGCTGAAGTCAGACGCCTAACTGACTGAGCCACCCAGGTGCCCCAGATCATTTGGAATTCTTTAATGTTTTTTTCACTTGTAGTCTTAAGTGATTCTGCAGAACATTTTTTCCTAGAATTACCTGTCCTTTTATTTTTAAGCAATTACATTTTTTTTAATGTTTATTTTTGAGAGAGAGTGGGGGAAGGGCATGGAGAGAGAGATGGACAGAGGATCTGAAGCTGGCTCTATTCTGACAGCAGAGAGACCGATACGAGGCTCAAATGCCTGAACTGTAAGATCATGACCTGAATCAAAGTCAGTCACTTAACCGACTGAGCCTCCCAGGAGTCCCTACCTATGTCCTTTTAAAGAGTCACAGTGTCCTTGTGTCACATTGGATCAAGAAATGTCCTTATCTTTGCCAATTAAATATGCACAGGAGTATTCTGTGTTTAGTGACCCTTTTGTTATTTATAGAAATACATACCACTATGTATAGAAATTATACATGTTTGAAGTTAATATCTTGTTCTTTCTTTTATCTAGAGCCCTAGAAGACTCACACAGAACCCTGAATATTATGTCCTGGTCTACTTGAATCTGATTCATGAGAAAGGCAGGAGGAAAAGGGTCATTCTCCAAGAACAAAAGAGGTAGGGGTAAAAGACCTAAGAATTTCAAGATTTCCTTCTGCCATGTAAGCGACCCAGTGCTGGTGAGTGTTCCAAAAGGAAGTCATTTCACCTCTCAAGTCTGTTGTAGGACTTGATTTTGTGAAGTAGGGCAGTGTTGTCCTGTTGAATGGACTCTGGATCAGTAGCCACAACTCAGAGACTGACTCTGGCTCCAGCTGATGGCAGCCCCACGTTCATCACTTTCTCTCAATGAGCTTCCACATCTGCATCCAGAAAATTAAGAAGTTGGACCAGATAATTTGCCATTCTGCTCTAAAAACTGATGTAATTCCAGGAAAGAAAATGAATAATGAAATGAAAAAGAGAAAGGAGAATACAGAAAGGTGTTGAGGACCAAAGAACTTTTCTGAGACTACC